CAGCACAGGAAGGACGTGGACCTGTTGGAGCGGGTCCAGAGGAGGGCCACAAAAATGGTCAGAGGGATGGAACACCTCTGCTATGAGGAAAGGCTGAAAGAGCTGGGGCTGTTCTGCCTGGAGAAGAGAAGGCTGCGGGGAGATCTTATTGTGGCCTTCTAGTACTTCAAGGGGGTCTACAGGAAAGATGGGGAGGGACTCTTTTATCAGGGAGTGTAGTGATAGGATGAGAGGTAATGGTTTTAAACTGAAGGAGGGTAATTTAGATTAGATATTAGGAAGAAATTTTTTTACTGTGAGGGTGGTGAGACACTGGAACAGGTTGCCCAGAGAAGTTGTGGATGCCCCATCCCTGGAAGTGTTCAAGGTCAGGTTGGATGGGGCTCTAAGTAACCTGATCTAGAGGAAGATGTCCCTGCCCATGGCAGGGAAGTTGGAGCTAGATGATCTTCAAGGTCCCTTCCAACACAAATCATTCTATGATTCTATACAATCCTTTATTCTTCTGTGAACTGAAAAATCTTTAAAGTTACTACATCAATAAACTAAAATCTGGTTAGTAAAAGGCATATTTTATTTCCCAAGGTTATAGTCACTATAGATACGCAAGAGCAGAATTTCCAGCTTCAGTTCTGGAGTTAATTTCAGACTATTTGTGTAAAATTGGGCAAGTTATCATTTGAGCACCCATGGACAACAATAATGAGGGCTACAGAAAAGCAGATTAGGATGACACAGAATGGCAGCATTTATTCAGAAAGTAACTCTCAATTGACATAACTTAGAAACTATATAAATCAACAGAACAGAGATCTGTTATAAGCCTTACAAACTAATGTGAAAAAGTGAAGAAAGATACTGTCAGGCAATATAGCATAACACAACATGAGTTGCACACTCAACATCTGCAGCCCTTTGCACAGAAAGATGTGTCAGCTTTCCTACGTGTTTATCTTAAAGCCAATAAAGTTGTTTGCAAAGGCTCTGGAAAAAAACCCAAACACATTCTTGAGATGATACTTCACTGTTATTTCCAAATGTCTGCAAGGCCACATACAGGAGGAGCTGAGTTATTTCAAATTTTGCCTCTACAGTGTGCAACAAAATACTAAAGGAAATTGAGAAGAGTTAATCTAAGAAATGAACATAAAAGAGAAAAGTCATGTATAAAGTTTGATTTTTAAAGTAGAATGGACTGTTAAACATCTTTACTTTGTCTGTTACCTGAATTTGCATCTTATTAAAGCAGCTGAAAAAACCCTCCACGATGCAAATCTTGGCATCACTTGCCATAAAACTGAAAGCCAACTGTAACTGTGAGCAGTTAAAGTAGAATTTTTTTGTCTTTTTTCATACTTCACACTCTGACCAAATATACATTTTATTAAATATGAAAAAAGAATAATCAAATCATCCAAGAAGAAGAGGTTGCTGATAGGTAGAAAGCTTATCATAAAATGTAAATATGTCTTAGACGGCAAGTAAGAGTACTGGTGCTTTGTTTTGTTTTAAAGTAAACATGTAGGTCACACTACATATGAAAGGCTTCTAGGCGTATTCTGTTTGGATCTTCTGGATGTCTCAGGGCAATTCCATATCGCAGCAGCAGTTCAATATAAGGTGGCCAAAATGAGTCATTGATTGTTACATAGGGTTCATGTGGTGTGCTCATTAATTTGTTTATAAGAATCTGGAAGACCAAAAGGATAAGATTTAGGAAATGAACAAAACAGCTCGATTTTTATCTCCTTTAACCAAATTTATACAAGTGATTGTAGTGGGACACTTATGTAGGCAATATAAGAAATACAAGACCTGTTAAAGGTAGAAGTAAAATAAAGAACTTCCAATTAACTTCATTAGTTTTTACATCAAAAGAGATGTAATCTGGATAAAAGGAGAATTATGATTCCAAGTTTTTCAACATCTGTCAAAAATACTTAGAAGATTTAACATAGTGTAACTGTAAATGCCTAAAAAATCTGAACATGAAGGTGGTAAATCCTTATATAGTTAATCTTTAAATCAGTATCTGTTAATTTAAGATTAAAAGCATTAAATAAGAGGGAAAGCTAGATTTTTGGGAATCACTTGCCTCAAAACCATAATGACTTACTATCAGCAAATCACTGTCCCGCACTCTCAGATTTTAGCAGAGAAGAATGTCCATCTTACAATTTTTTCTAAATTTAATCTCACTAATAAGCTAAAAAAAAAAAATCTGTTGTCTTAGATTGGGAAGAATTCTTTTTCCTGCATTCTGTGTCCTTCTGTAGGTAGTGTTAGAAATAAATAAGTTTGCACCTGTGAAAAATTAAACATCATAGTCCTAGTTTAGCTTCACTATGTTTGTACATCAAATCTTTTTGCTCATCTCATAAATGGATTATCCAAGCTCTTAATATCACTTCTTGTATGGGCATGACAAGCACCTTACAACAATTCACCTCTTCTTGACACTTCCTTACTTCTCCTTTGTTCCTTATCAAAATATACAATTAGTTAACGGAGTTAAAAACAAAGATGAGTTTTGACATTCTTTTTCTATTCTTGGAGAGCACGTTTATATCTTCATAATATTGCTCATGGGGAATACTGCAGACATTACAGATTAAATGATGTCACCCATCCCATGGAGCTCTCTTCTATTCATCCTAGGTATTTCATCTTCCTACTCAGAGCTTCTATATGTTATAGCTTTCCTCATTTCAGTAGGTACAAAATATTCTGTCTGCATCTTTACTGCTAAAGAAGAACTCAAAATCCTCACTACCAGACTTTACTCTTTTTTCACCCATTGCTATTTAGAAAAAAAAAAATACTGCTGCTCTTTTTCAGAACATTCCGAAGAATTATTCCAGTTTATGTCTTTTGTACTTATCTGCCCCAATTCTGAATATTTACTCCAAATGCATTATTTTAGATGAATTGCTACGTAGTCTTTTCTGACAGCTGATATTCCAAAAGAGCCTTTATGGCTGTAACTTTACATACATTGTGTTGTAAACAGTCTTTCAAATCTTAAACTAGTTCACTAAATTCTCAATCAGAAAGGAATAATCCTCAAACTGTTTAAAAGGAAAAGAAATACTACATTTGTAAAAAATTACAGCTCATTACTGGAATAAAAAGTAGTATAACAAAAATTCTGAGGTTTGCAGGAGAAAAGAGTTCACTGCTTGCTTACTGCTTATGCTCATTTAATGAAGTAGGTACTGATATACCTAAATAACATGAATGTATACACCTAGCTTGTCAAAGTGGATTTATTAAAAATGTACACTTTCATTATCTAACAAAACACAAGGAGACTGAGGAGACATGGTTAGGAACACATGCACTGATGGTAATTCTGTGAATTAATTACATTTTTACAACAGCAAGTCTTAAATGTGTAATTATAATACAAAGATAACTTTGCATTTGTCTCTTTAAGAAAGTATTATCTGTATCTACGAAAACACTTTTGAAATTTAACAGGCACTTGAAGCTAGAACCAAGTTGCTCAACAAAAAACACCCCCATAAAACAAAGATAAGGGACATCTACAGTTTAGGCCAAGAAAGTTTAAATAAAAAAAACAGTCTGAATTTTTGGAAGTAGTATGTTCTTCCAAATGGAAATCAGACATTACCTGGATATGTATACATTTTGAGGAGATTAACAATGTCAGAAAAATATGAAGGGCAATTTTAAAGCATTAGAAGAGCTTTACAATTTTAATTCCATAGGGAATGTGGCTATTTTAAATTCTGAGCTGTTTTCAAGGTCTGCCTAATTTGGCACTAATAGGCATGCCAAGATACTTGAAGCATGTAAAATGATTTTGATGATGTAAGCCCAAAGTCTGGGCTTTAAACTAAAGTACAACAATGTCATAGTGACCAGATCATAGCATCTTAATACCAGAAAGTTGTTTTTCATCAAGTTTTCTCTCAGGAAAAAAAACTTCCCCCCTGGGGAGGTCTTATGCACAGATGCTTACAACTGCCTGAACAGTGAGGATGGAGGAGGAATAGGAAATTTCACTTCAAATGCTACATGTAAGACAAGAAGGAACAATGCTAGTGAAAAGATTTTTAATGCTCCTTCAAAATTATGCTTTGCAATTCAAATTCGTAAATGGCACTGTGATTAAAAATACACACTAAGCAATGCTGGCATACTTATAAAATTGATTAGAAATGCATGAATCAGATTCATTGATTTCCTCATATGAGAAGATAATCCAGTTAATATACAAGACTACACATTAATTGGTCCTTCTATAGCAGTTATTGCATTATACTACAGAAATATTTTTATTGAAACAGTACAAAACATACCATGAAATTGGAACAAAACATTTTTTTTTAAGCATAGCATTTGTCTCCCTTAATATGAGGCACTAAGGCTCATAAAACTTCTTTAAAATAATCATTATAAAATTAAGAAATAAGCAATAATCATTTTTCAGCTTAAACTGAAGATTTAGTTATCTAAATTACTGCCACATCTCTTGTAAAAAATTTGGGGTTTAATTTGATAGGAGTTAAAATAGAAATCTGACATAACATTCTTACACATTCTACTTTTCAATTAATGATCTTAACTGTATGTCATATACTGTTATTTATCTTATCAATATATTATGATCAGATCTGAGTATTGGAAAATCCTCTAAATCTCTATATAATAAAACCATCTTACCTCTAAAACTTCATGTAGCGTTATCAGTTCTACAGCTGGCTCTTCAGAAGAATTCTGCAAAGATAACCACCCCCAGAGCCAAATTAACAGAAACAAAAACTAAATAGTCAGAAAAAATGTTAATTGACAAAGAAAAATAATCACACAGTTATTTGATTGCATAGTACACAAGAGGTGAAGACTTATTTAGATTTAGTCATGACAAAAATACAAGGTCATATTTAAATAATTTGTCTACCCATTCAATATTAGACATTTTAAATGTAATTTTTTAATTAATTATTCAAAAAGTTTAACCTTAAGTGATCATAGTATATCTACCTGGGTTTACATTTAAATAAAACCAAGTGCATCATATTTATAAATGTAGCACAGTGCAAAACTTTCTATGAATATAATCTGTTAGGAAAAAATGTTTTTCTTGAACTTTAGAAAAATGTTTACAATGCAAATCTGACACAGCTCAGGACCTGAGTTCACAGTACCTTAATATTTTTTTCATAATTTGCCAATGAATATTTGTTTGTTTTTACTCTGACTTCACTTTTAAAAAATGGCCAAGCTTAAGAAATAGAATCATTAAAAATTTGAAAAAAAAGTCCTTGATAAAATATCATTTGTACAGCAATCCATTAGAAAATTCATTGTTTTCATTTGTAGCAAGCAAATCAAGGCATTTGCCTATAAACTGATATGGATTCCTTAGACAGCAACGCCAACAAAACTGCTTGTGCTGTTGCACAGTGAACCTGATTCTTTTATTTTTCAATTTTATCTTTTTTCCCCTTCCACTTAACATTCAACAAAATAAAGGAGATAATGCAGCACTGGTGGCTGCTTACTCAGCACTGCTGTTGAATATGTCAACTTAAGTCCTAAGATATTAACAGATGTACAGCACCTTATACAAACTCCACTTCTGGAACAGAAGAATAGAAGCAATAAAGAAGCATTTGTGAAAGGCAAGTTCTGGCTCCTTTTTTCCAGTCACAGTTCTTAATATTCTCACCTTCAGAAAGCCACAAGGGGAACATACTACCTGCTCCATGGAAATCTTGCAAACCATGGAGCTAGGGCTCAATAATGCCTATCTTTGTGCCCTTATCTTGGTACTACCCTGAGGAAATAGAGTCTACACTAAAAGCTGCAAAGCTTCCTTGGAGCAATCACGAAGATACTTCATAGCCTCAGCTGTTGTATTTGCCTGGCCAAAAAGTATTACTTTGTATCTTAGGTAGTAGGTTCAATATTCATGTTTCACAGTTGAAATTAGGTTATGACTTCAGTAATTACTAAAACAAATATACAGAGTAAAATCCTAAGGATATTAGTGTAAAAGATACTAGTGTAAAGATACTAGTGTACTGTCTGAACTAGCAAACTTATTTTGCTAGGTTTATAATACACATTGTGTATTTTGTTTTGTAAAATTATATTACTTACATATTTTAAGTGTCACCGAAATAAGTACTTGTAATTAATTAATGCTTATAAAGTCACTTTTAAGCAGGATGCTTAGCATTTATTTATTTAACCAGAAAGGCACCTTCTTCTCCCTTTCATGAGATAGACTGGCATAAAGAATATTCCTCAACATACGACTTTTCATATTTATTATCTGGAAAAAAATGTGGTTTTTTTTTTAATCTGAGATTTAAAATGCAAGATAATTCTTACCTCAATCGCTACCTATACTAAAGGTGTTGGGTCATAGCAACAGAAGCTAACCTGCGCTACCGTAATTGAGTATTCCCTCACACCCCCAACCCCAGATGCAGGTGCCTGGTGAAAGGAGAGTGGAACCAGAACAGCCAGGCTTGGAGCAGTACACTCTGCTCTGGAGCCGTGCCCTACAGATGTCAGCCCTGCACATTTGCCCTCACTCAGAACTACTGAGAACACAAGAAGCTTCCACAAAGTGAAGCAAAATTACTGATGTACCGAGTTAAGAGTTCGGTGCTTCCAGAGTGTTGAAGAAAGCTGACAGTAGATGTGAATAACGTGTTCCCCTGAATCAATGTAGCAACAAATTTCATGGCTAATGCCGTCAATTTGTATTTCACAATAAAGAAAACAATATAGGTGAAAATGGCTGTCTCTCCTGCCTTCACAGTTAATGACTTAGATGCCGATTACAGGGGACCTGCAGTTGAGCCATTGAGATCCAACTGAGTAAAAAGATACAGAAGCAGCTATGAATTCACACAGAGTGAAAAGAAAGAAAAAGACTTGTCAGAAAACAAACTGTGTTTAAGAATTCAGGAAATGCATAAATAAAATTAAAACTAAGACAAGATAAGAACTTGCTTGGAAGTTTATAAAAATAAATTTTACCTTTAAGTAAAAAAAGGTTGAAGGTGAGCAGGGTAGCTAATAAGATTTTCTGACAGTCAGTATAACAGACATTGAGAAAATTCAAGCAGTTGATTTTGCTCTGAGGCAGGAGATTTTATGTAAAATCTTCCTCAGAATTCTGAAACACACACATGAATTCACTGTATCTTATATTTAAAACACAGCTGGATATGACCATGAGCAACTAGATCCAACTTTGATGTTGGCACTACCTTGATGATGGTGTTGGAATGGAAGATCTCCAGAGGTCACTTCCAGCCTATATTTTTCTATGACATCACATAAATAGGATCAAATAAATTGGTGTATCTCATTATAGGAAATATATTTTTAAGGGAATAATTATATATATGGGAAAAATGGACAATCACTTAAAATGCATCTGGGAAAGTCATTAGTATTTGAAGAAGTATGTGCTAGAACAACTGTAAGATAAGTAAGAACCAGCAAATAGGGAGATGACATATCAGGCTGAAATCAGGAAATATATGCTTGAAAGACAACTGTTAATTAAATCCCTGAAGCTTTAATTTCTTAATGTCGGAACAAAATGTATCCTATTTAGTAATAACAGGAAACTGGAAGGCATTGATATGTAGAAGAACTAAGATATAATAGAATAAGATGTTTGAAGATGGTTGAATAAGACTTTGAAAATGGACATCATGCCTTGAAGGCTCCATTTGGTATTTTTATGTGCAAAATACGTACTTCTGAGCAAAAACAAGAGGGTTTTTTTTTTAATTGAAAATTCAGGGTTCATCAGCTGGAAATAACAGGAAGAAAAAGACAAGGGTGTAATCAGTTGCTTTTGTAATGATGGTGAGCTAGTAGTTTTGTTTGTAATATTGGTTTTTACCAGCTTCCAAAAAAGATGAATCCAAGCGGAAGCAAATATAGAAAATGGGTACTATTAGGATAATCCAGGGAATTGGAAAAAATTCTATTACAGGAGAAGAACAAGAAAGTTTGCTAGTTCAATTAGCAAAACAAAGAAAGAGAGGTATAAGAGAGCTGTCTATAACTGTATCAGGAGAAATAAACACAAGAAAGAAAAAGAGCTATTCTAAGGACAATACTGGTGTAAGAATACATGGATCTGTGTTAGACATGAATAAATTTAGACTGAAAGCTACCAGACAGTTTCTAACCAGAGTACTGAGGTACTAGAACAAACTCCAATAGAAACAGTAGTAACAAAAATAATTAGTTTTAAAATGGAGTTCAATGATAATATTAAAGAAATTATATTATGTGGTTGTCTGAAATAACAGGGAACTGGATTAAAGAAATCCTTTCTATTTCTGTGTTCTTAAGTGTGTCTGAAATCAAAATCAACCCTTGCTTTTTTGTAGCTCTTTTGTAACTATTCTTTCAAATAGTAACAGTAAAAGGTTTATTTTTACTGCAGACTTTGAATTTATTATGCAAAATACTCCCTGACTGCCTATTTTCCCTAAAGTTTTAAGATAATTTTTGGCCCAGTTTGCCTGAACAGAAACTGATAGTTAACATTCCAAACTACACTGTAATTATAAACACTTGTTCTTATTACTGTTCCAAAAACATTGTTGGACAATTAAAATTTGCTTTGCCAAGGAAAATATGAATCCACTTGCCTAGTCCAGTAAAAAAGAAAATGGAACAATTTGGAGTGAACCACTCACCATTTCCAAATTTGGCACAGCTTGCAGTTCAGTAAGAAATACAATACATTGCTATGCATCTCATTGGGTAAGGATATATGCATTAAAAAAGAAAATATCCAGCTGGGAAGAGCCTTAATATAAACTAACCTGAAAAATATCAATTAAACCTAAAGAGTCAGCTGTAAGAACTATACTTATTTCAAAATATAACTGCAAATTCTATCCTAGTGGCTTTAAGAAGATATTGCATCCAATTAAATAGAAATTGAACATTCCAAATCTAATAATTAAGAAAATCTTACCTTCTTTTTAGCACTCCCACCTTTCTCTGGAAGGGGAAAATGTTCTTCTAGGAATTCACCCAGAGCATTCAAGAGTTCTTCCTTGTATACCCTTAGTTTCAACATTTTATTTTGCAGTTCATGAAATGCTCTAACTTTCTGTCTAATAGTAAAAACATAGCCATAGAGTATGAAATTCAATAAAACAATTAAATAGTTCTTCTCAAGTAAAAAAATCCCTTGTTTTTTATTGTTATAAGTTCAACATCTTGAATCACGGGATATAAGCAGATAGTAGCAATATTTTCCATGTTTCAAATATGGATTTCTGAGTTATTATTTCATCTATTTAATGAAATAAGAAGTATGTTTTAAGAGTGTGTTTGCTCATTTGCTTTTGTTGGTATTTAAATTCTTCAATATAAAAACTCAACACTGTAGAAATACCTTGCTTTAGGAAGTTGTTCAACTTGTTTTTTTGTCTCTTCTTCAATTCCATTAAGAGCATCTAGTACCTGTTCCTCTTCCTCAAGCCACTGCTGCTCTCTTTGAAACATAAAAAGTAGGAAATGGCACAACAGATAAGTAGTTCTCCTGGACAGTCACAAAAAAAAAAAAAAAGAAAAAAAAGCATGGTAAAAAAGCTTACAGCATTTGTAAGTCCAAATTATTGTATTACCTTTTCAGATCTTCTTCCAGTTGTTTATTCTTTGACTGAACTGTTGACAGCACCATTTCAAGATCATTCTTTACTTTCTGCAACTACAAAAAAGTAAAAATAAACCTACAGTTTGCAGATAGTCCAGTCTGTCGTATTTGTTCTATGTAAGATTACATATGTAAATCTGGTAAAAAGGGCCAAAATTATCTGTAATTTCTTAAGAAATATGGCTAGAGAGTGACACATTATTTTTAAATCCAGTTGGAGCTATTTAAAATGTTACTGTCACCAGTTGCTCATTAGTGTCTTATTGAACCTCTGTAAAACAACATAGTTGATTTTACCTGAAGCAGATTATGGAGCACACACATGAATAGCTCATCTGATGAAAGACCGCGGAGAAAATATCTACAGCACCAGGGCTGCATTGTCTAAATCATTGCAGCTGTTGGCAAGAATGAAGCCATGCTAATTGCACCAACATAAAATGTATAGCGCTCAGAAAACAAAGATGCTGGAAAGACTAATTGTATCCATCCACTAAATGGTCCTCGGTGATATGGACGTATTTGGGAGGGGAAAGAGGGAGACATAAAACTACTGCAGTCAGAAGTTATATGCACTGATGAAGAGAGGGAACAGTGGACTCTCAGTGGACTGGGTCTTTCATTACTGCATTATGTTCTACAAAGTAGTATTTCTAATAGTTTATGTTGTTTTAATATAAACCTATAATTTGGATGTATTTTGTCTCCTTCCATGCAAACTATGAGAACTTTTATACTTAACTCAAAGAAATAAAAAATGTGAAAATATTCTACAGAAGCAAATATGCTCTATATATGCAACATCTGAAAAAACACTGGAATCCTCAACAAAATAGACCACAAAATGGGATATCAGATCAAACATGCCATAGCAATACACTCAAATGAAAGTGTGTAACCAAACAACTTGTTAATAGTGACTCTTAACAGCAGCTGGGTTCCCTGTTGTAAGTGGTACTAGAGGGAGGAAAGCTGCTAGGAAGAAGACGACAAAACAGTATTTTGGGTTTTTTTTAAGCCACAACCACAGGAATATTCTCAGGTCATTTTGCATACCAATGACCAAACAATATAGTGTAATGCTACCCCTAAGACATTCTTGATTTGCTCTTTGTTCCAAGGCTGGAAGAACTCAACAAAATATTTGCAAATTATTGCCACAGAACTCTAGATCTAAGAATACGGACTCTTCTGTATAACACACAATGTTACATTATTTTACATCAAGTGTGAAATGCAATATATAAAAACTTTTTGTTTAAAAGACCATTCATCACAACCAGGAAATTTTAGTAGTTATAATACAGGGCAAGAAAAAATATTAGAACAACAACAATGCCTGAAGAAACATACACAGTATCTTAGCAGTAGTCCACCACAGGAGTAGTCATAGGAAAATGCAGCAATTGTGTATACTGTTTTCATTTTTTCAATGAAATTTTATTATCTCTTAACAAACAAAAAGACTTACCTCTTCTTTTCCCAATGCTAACAGTACATCTGGATTGGTAGAAATTACTGAAAAATAAAATGAATTGGTTTTTTTGCACTGGATAATATAGGCTTGTTTATACTGAAAAGCAGCCTGACTAGAGAGAAACTTGCGTAGCCTCTAAAATACTAGCCTGGCTGTCAGTAGCAACTTAACCACATTTTGTGGTATCCTGCTGGGCTAGACTACTGTCACTTTTCAGCAAGTTAAATTAGACTGAAAAAAGTGTGATGTTAATGCTTCTGTGTTATTTTTTGTACCTGAACTAGCTCAGGTACGTATAATTGAAATGGAAAGCACAGTCATACTTTAAGAAAAGCAAGCCTGATTTTTTCACTGGAAGGGAATGCACCAACATTACCAGTGTGGGCAATCAAATTCTTCCAGTCTTCCAGTTCCTTGTTAAACAGCCTCCTAAATGCTCCATGACGATTGTAAAACCTATCAGATTTAAAGAACTTAAAAATCATGTCACCATCCTTACTGTTGACAAGAACAGCTACATGTAGGGAGATGAAAGGCCCAGTAAGGCCAATATCCTAACTCAATCCCTGAGCAACAGCAGTACTTGAGGGAAAGTATAGTACTATTCGAGGATGTGGTAATGTTTCCCCAGAATGCTTCTGGTGATTTATGGCTCATGAATTTCATCAGTGGACAAGGGAAGAACTACAGATATCATCTATCTGGACTTCTGTAAGGCCTTTGACATGGTCCCTCACAACATCCTTCTCTCTAAATTGGAAGGATATGGATTTGATGAGCGGACTATTCGGTGAATAGCTAATTGGCTGGATGGTCGCATCCAGAGGGTAGTGGTCAACAGCTTGATGTCCAGATGGAGATCAGTGACAAGTGGTGTCCCTCAAGGGTCCGTACTGGGGCCAGTGCTGTTGAATAACTTCACCAATGACATAGACAGCGGGACTGAGTGCACCCTCAGCACGTTTGCAGACAACACCAAGCTGAGTGGTGCAGCTGACACGCCTGAGGGACGGGATGCCATCCAGAGGGACCTGGACAAGCTGGAGAAATGGGCCTGTGTGAACCTCATTGAGAGCAGCCCTGAGGAGAAGGACTTGGGGGTACTGGTGGATGAAAAGCTGGACATGAGCTGGCAATGTGCGCTCGCAGCCCAGAAAGCCAACTATCTCCTGGGCTGGATCAAAAGAAGGGTGGCCAGCAGGGCGAGGGAGGTGATTCTGCCCCTCTACTCTGCTCTGGTGAGACCCCACCTGAAGTACTGCATCCAGCTCTGGGGTCCTCAGCACAGGAAGGACATGGACCCATTGGAGCGGGTCCAGAGGAGGGCCACAAAACTGATCAGAGGGATGGAACACCTCTGCTATGAGGAAAGGCTGAAAGAGCTGGGGCTGTTCTGCCTGGAGAAGAGAAGGCTGTGGGAAGACCTTATTTTGACCTTCTAGTACTTCAAGGGGGCTTACAGGAAAGATGGGGACAGACTTTTTAGTACTGCCTGTAGCGACAGGACAAGGGGTAATGGTTTTAAACTAGAAGAGGGTAGATTCAGACTAGATATAAGGAAGACATTTTTTATGATGAGGGTGGTGAAACACTGGAACGGGTTGCCCAGAGAGGTGGTGGGTTCGCCATCCTTGGAAACACCGAAGGACAGGTTGGATGGGGCTCTGAGCAACCTGATGTAGTTGAAGATGTCCCTACCAGTTGCAGGGGGTTTGGACTAGATGACTTGTAAAGGTCCCTTCCATCCCAAAACATTCTATGATTCCTTGATTTTCTGAATAAAAAGTAAATTGTTGTATTTTATAGCCTTCAACAGACTCCAATCAATTCTCAGTTCCATGTCAACTTGCAGCATCTTGCATAAACCTATGACTTTTTCAAAAGTGAAGCATTTGAATCTATTAACAGCAGAAATGAAAGGTACTCTAACAGATTTACATCTTAATATGATGGGGATATTTTTTGTACAAGCTTGGGCTCCAAATCTCTAATCTTAAAAATCATTACTTCAATAAAAGCTTTTTCTTTAACAAAAATTAAAACCCTTAACATTCTCATAAGAGCATTAAATATCTCCTAAATTCAATACAGTTGATTTCATAAATTTATAAAAGTACTTTTTTCATAAAGTAATTTTATAGTTATTTTCTCCACAAATTTTGAGATGCCTTAGATTAGTAGTTTTAAAAGCAGTGTTTGTTCTGAGATGAAAATCGGTAAAACTACTGAGTTCAAAATCCATTAAATTACATGTCACGATAAAATCCCTTTTACTTAGATAATTACTGTCTCTAAATCTTGACACAAAATTTGAGTGCTCCCAAATTAAGCTTATGTTTAAGAGCTGTGGGAAGTAGTGGTCTGTGCTATTATTAGAGCAAGATTTCTTTAATGACATGAATAACCCACATACACATGATAAAATTCACCGGTGTGCTTTTATTCACATTCAGTGGTATATTTGAAGAATCGCGAGCCCTCACTACCTGGGGTTATCAATTTCTACTATTGGTTTATAACACTTCTTCATTTTTAGATACCTAATTCTGAATGTGTGCTTCCCATTCAATATTCATATTGTGTGAGTATCAGAATAGTTGGCCATATCTTCCTACGAAAGAAATCACTAACCCTAATTTAGTGAAGTAACAGTGCAGATCTAAGACACTGGGACAACACATTTATGGCAGCTGCTACTGTAAAGAACACAGGTTGCTCTATCTGCTATCAGTTAAAGCTTTTTCAGTTATGAATCACTGCGCTTGCAAAAAAAAAAAAAGGGATGTCAAACAGAATTGCCGAGTGATACATAGTACAATTACTAAGCAAAATACTACCAGATGCTGAGAATGTAAAAGCAACTACTATGCACATGTTTATACAGAACATTTATTAAAATAAGAGGAATTTGGCAGAATACTGATATTTTGCAAAGAAAAATAGAAATTATGCAGAGACCACAACCATTTTATATGGTTTAAAATATGGTTGCTTCCACTTCTTTATTTTGCAAAGGTAAAAGTTAAATTCTATTTTTATGAGCCAAATGCATGTTAAAAAGTTTTAATTCAGCTGATTTAGCAGCTCTAGAGCTACATAAATAGTACCAGAACTGAGAAAGAACAAGAGACTAAAGTAAAAGCTTTACAAAAATAAAATTTGTGTTGAGGATTCAAGTCTGTTAGCCAATATTGTGCCCAAAGAAATGTAGAACTGCCAAGTTATAACCTCTGAAAATAAGGCCTAAAATTGAAATGCTGACAGGCCCTCATTTACAAGAAATGAACGGGCCATTACTAAAAGCACAAACCAAAGCAACAAGTTAGCTTGACACTCATGCTCTAATAGTAAATTGTATTAAATTAGTATTTCTGCTATTCCTATTTAGATAAATTCAGACAATGTTTTCAATTAAGTAAGCCCTCCTTCAAAACAGTTGGTAGAAAGGAGCCAAGAAGGACAGAGAAGATGTAAGCACAGTAGACTCTTCATTTTCATACAAGCACTATAACTCTATTCAAATTCTTAGCAGCAACTTCTTTTTTCTTCCCTCGGAAAGGTAGCCAAAAAGGCAAAGCTTTGGCTGCAAAATATTATTTGCATTATAATATGCATAGATCACTCCTCTAGTACAAAATTAAGTTTTCTAATAATAAATCTTATCACCTGGGAACAAGTAAGAATGGTTGAGCAAAGCAAGTCAGCAAGCCAATAAAAATAGGTCAAAACCCAAGAATATTATTAAGCAAACAGCTTAAAGTTTAAAATAATTACATATTTTAGTAAGGAAACCTAACATCTCCAGGTATTTTACCCAGATAAAAACTGTAAGTGCTTTCAGTTCATTTGCTTTAAGCCAGCACCTTATTCATGAGCAGCAGCCAAGAATCAGTATTTCCCAAATTCATTCAATGTCATACTTTTGGTCTACATACCTCTAAGAAGCATTTGAGGCTGACCATTCTTAGAGACAGGCTTAAAAAGCACATGAACTATGATTTTTTTCTAATAGAGTAACAATATTTATTTATAAGAAAAAAGACTTGGTTTTTTTCCCCAGCTCCTATCGTTTGATCATGATATGCAGCAAGTACATGAACTTTGAAAGAAGCTGGAGAAGTGACTTTAACATTCATGTGAAAATGCATTCCAGTTTGGCCAAATGACAAAATATTGGAAATCCCCATTTGCTGTCTAAATCACATTCCTATCCTTTTGTAAACACTAAAAAATCCAAGCCTCTTCTGGCATAAAAATATTCAAATGAGTCAATGTATCCATTTAAAGATTAACTAATAAGTTTTACTGGGTTGAAAGGTGCTAATGGTTCCTTGACAGGAGACATAACAGCGAGTGCTACCACAACATTAATGATAGTGAGTGCGAACTGTTTTAGGAGTCTCCAAATAGGACATCTGAAAAAACAGATTACTCATAGTTAGATTCTGAATGGTTTTATTTTCAATGTCTGACCAGATCAGCCTTGCAACAAAATTAAACCAGTCAAGCGCTGATGATTATGTACAAAAAGAATTTTGAAGAACTGGGAATTTATACCATTTCACTGATAATGCCTAACAAATATAAGAGCTACCACTTGCCTCAGTGGTTTGTGCTTCTCAGGATCAATAAGTGATCTGGATTCCTGTGTTGTTAAAATAAACTGGTGTCTTTTACCACCTTTTCTTGACCTGAAATCTCTGACCCCTGTTAAGTCCAAGATAGATATTTTATTACAGCGTAATGGGCTTACCACTAAAGGTTTACTTCAAAGTTTCAGCTAGTACATCATAATAAAACACACTTCCGTGAAGTAGTAATTAAAAAAAAAAATAATCAAAGGAGGTATGGTTAAAAATATGCCTGGGTAAATTATTGTTAGTTTATTAGTAATACTTGCAAAAATAAAAAAAAAATATCAGCTTCTTAAAACACAAAATTCTTTGCCAAAGTAGTTCTGTCCTAAAAAGGAAATACAAATGAAAGATGGAGAAGAAACAGTCACATAAAGGAGAAACCTGAAAGAGGGTAACCGCATAATGAACTTTTGTTAGGAGATCTGCTAACAGTTATTTTTCCATTTAACTGACCGATGAATGGTGATATGACTCGTGCATTTATTTGTACGGAATAATAAAATTAAGTTATAGTAGAATTCACGTTGAATTCTAAGCTTATTTAGAACTGAAGTATGAAAAGAATAGAGAAATGAAACACACATGCTACTGTAGGAAGTATTTAATTTTTAAGTAGTTCTAGTATGAAAATACAATCAGCAGACATTTAATATATACACAGTTTAAGACGCCTAGATGAAAGAGAATTTGCAGAAGTTTATATGAGTATACCTTACATGGAAGCAGTTACTTACTTTCAGGACTTCTTTTTTGCCATTGATTATGTTCCGCTGCTAAAGCTTTCACTCTCATCATTAACAAGGAAAGCTGCATAACAAGAAAAGAAGCATCTCGTGAAGTGTGTTGAGTTGCATTGGAGTATAGTAAGATAGAATGGGATAGAAATTCAATTATTAAGTTTATACAGCAGAAAACAAAAAGAGCATCAGATGAAGTCCCTGGGGACTGGAAAAAGGGAAATATTGCAGCTCTTTTTAAAAAGGGTAGAAAGGAGGACCCTGGGAACTACCAACCTGTCAGCCTCACCTCTGTGCCTGGGAAGACCATGGAACAGATCCTCCTAGAAGCTGTGCTAAAGGCACATGGAAGGCAGGGAGGTGATTCGGGACAACCAGCATGGCTTCACCAAGGGCAAGTCCTGCCTGACCAACCTAGTGGCCTTCTATGATGGAGTGACTACATCAGTGGACAAGGGAAGAACTACAGATATCATCTATCTGGACTTCTGTAAGGCCTTTGACATGGTCCCTCACAACATCCTTCTCTCTAAATTGGAAGGATATGGATTTGATGAGCGGACTATTCGGTGAATAGCTAATTGGCTGGATGGTCGCATCCAGAGGGTAGTGGTCAACAGCTTGATGTCCAGATGGAGATCAGTGACAAGTGGTGTCCCTCAAGGGTCCGTACTGGGGCCAGTGCTGTTGAATATCTTCACCAATGACATAGACAGTGGGACTGAGTGCACCCTCAGCACGTTTGCAGACAACACCAAGCTGAGTGGTGCAGCTGACACGCCTGAGGGACGGGATGCCATCCAGAGGGACCTGGACAAGCTGGAGAAATGGGCCTGTGTGAACCTCAGGAGGTTCAGCAAGGACAAGTGCAAGGTCCTGCACGTGGGTCGGGGCAATCCCCGGTATCAGTACAGGCTGGGGGATGAAGGGATTGAGAGCAGCCCTGAGGAAAAGGACTTGGGGGTACTGGTGGATGAAGAGCTGGACATGAGCCGGCAATGTGCACTCACAGCCCAGAAAGCCAACCGACTTCTGGGCTGCATCAAAAGCAGCGTGGCCAGCAGGTCGAGGGAGGTGATTCTGCCCCTCTACTCTGCTCTGGTGAGACCCCACCTGGAGCGCTGCGTCTAGCTCTGGGGTCCTCAGCACAGGAAGGACATGGACCCATTGAAGCGGGTCCAGAGGAGGGCCACAAAACTGATCAGAGGGATGGAACACCTCTGCTATGAGGAAAGGCTGAAAGAGCTGGGGCTGTTCTGCCTGGAGAAGAGAAGGCTGTGGGAAGACCTTATTTTGACCTTCTAGTACTTCAAGGGGGCTTACAGGAAAGATGGGGACAGACTTTTTAGTACTGCCTGTAGCGACAGGACAAGGGGTAATGGTTTTAAACTAGAAGAGGGTAGATTCAGACTAGATATAAGGAAGACATTTTTTATGATGAGGGTGGTGAAACACTGGAACGGGTTGCCCAGAGAGGTGGTAGATGCTCCATCCTTGGAAACACCGAAGGACAGGTTGGATAGTGCTCTGATCAACCTGATGTAGTTGAAGATGTCCCTACCAGTTGCAGGGGGTTTGGACTAGATGACTTGTAAAGGTCCCTTCCATCTCAAAGCATTCCATGATTCCTTGATCTATTACAATAGACCACTTAGTCCTTCAAAAGATTTAAAAAGCCACTTGCAGGGATCAAGAAACATTTTTATTCTTTTTTCAAAAGGGAGAAATCAGAAGTACTTAGAGTTGGAATTTTTCCCCTAATGGCCTGTAATATCAGATGATGACCACAACTGAAGATGAGCCACTAGAAGCATTGCCAATACTTCACATCCCCACTCCTTCTTAGATGCATGGTTGACACACATTTAAGGTTAAATGGACTGTGCCTGATATGTGTGATGACTAAAAAAAAAAAAAAGATTGGCTTCCAAAAAGAAAAACCAAAACCCACAGTAGTCAAATAAATCTTCTATCAAAACCACATCTGTGGACTCAACAAAAAAATGCTTTAGAACTAGTGCTCTGGCTCACTGTAATCACTGAAAATATAGGAACAATAAGAAAAATACCAGTTCAGAAAAGTTTATTAAAAAACTCCAAACTGAACAGCCATAGATTTTTTAAAATGTACTTATTTTAATATCTTACTATGTTCCGGAAAAAGAATATATTCATTATTACTATTCCACTTCCTGAAACTGAGGACTACACTTATAACTTTTCTTCAAGTACATTGTAAATTACATATAGGTGTCATATTATAAGTAATATGATAAGAAATTAAGTATACATTTAAATACAGAATGTACTGCTGATATGGTTGAATAGTCCATAAAAAGCACTGCAGATTGCATTTGGCTTTACATCAATTAAAAAGAAAAAAATATGATAAGAACCATCAGCCAAGTTCTTACAATAAAAATATCAAGAATTGGCAACTTAATTTTCATTTTTCACTACTCAAATTAACTTTGCAAAGTGCATCTTCAAAAGATAACCTTTTAAATAAAGGAAAACAAATTGAACCCTAAAGAAATAATCACCATACAAACATTTCTTATTTTCTAGATCAGGTGGTGTCATCTCTTTTGTAATGAAGCACTACTCTTGATGATACTATCAGCTCATTCTTTGTTCCTTTAAACTTCATAAAAAAGGGTGTAGGAAATGTTCTGGATATTCCAGTAACTGGACAAAAAAACCCTTTCAAATAAATGAACACTACCATTCAGCAAGCTGAAATCAAGGGCCGTCTTTTCAACAGACAAATACATACAGCACATATGCGCATTAGATGTCTCTCTCTCATGCCCTATAGACATTCTGAACAAAATATGCTGCTCAGGAAGTAATCCATTACATCGCAGACCAGAATCAATCCCCAAACTTAAAGGATAAAACCACAAAAAGTATATTGCAAGATTACAGTCTTGAGGTGATTAAGGAATGAACATCAGTGACAAGATCAACAGCAAGGAAAAAAACCATAGCTTCTTTGCCAGCTACAATGAAAACAGAACAGTATAGTTCCAGTTGGAAGGGACCTAGAACGATCACCTAGTCCAACTGCCTGACCAATTCAGGGCTGACCAAAAGCTAAAGCATGTTATTAAGGGCATTGTTCAAACACCTCCAACACTGACAGGCTTGGGGCATCGCCCACCTCTCTAGGAAGCCTGTTCCAGTTTTTGACCACCCTCTTGGTAAAGAAATGCTTCCTATTGTCAAGTCTGAACCTCCCCTGACACAGCTTTGAACCGTTCCCATGTGTCTTGTCACTGGGTAGCAGGGAGAAGAGCTCAGCACCTCCCTCTCCCCTTCCCCTCCTCAGGAAGCTGTGGAGAGCAATGAGGTTGCCCCTCAGCCTCCTTTTCTCCAAACTCGACAAGACCAAAGTCCTCAGCCACTCCTGGACATGCCTGCCAGCCCTTTCACCAGCTTTGTTGCCCTCCTCTGGATGCATTCAAGGATGTGGTTTGCCCTCTTGGCTGCCAGGGCACACTGCTGACTTCTATTGAGCTGAGCATCAAACCAGTACCGCAGTTCCCTTTCTGCAGGGCTGCTCTCCAGCCACTCCTCTCCCAATTTATACTTGTGCCTGGCATTACTCCACCCCAGGTGCAGCATCTGATATTTGTTCTTGTTAGATGTCATGCCATTGATGATTGCCCAATGCTGCACTCTATCTAGATCCCTCTGCAAGGCCTCTTGTCCCTTGAGAGAGTCAACAGCACCTCCCAGTTTGGTATCATCAGCAAACTTGCTCATGGTGCATTCAACTCCTGCATCCAGATCACTGATAAATACATTGAACAGAACTGGCCCCAGAATTGAGCCCTGAGGAACACCGCTGGTGACGGGTCACCAGCCAGAGGTGGGCCCCTTCACTACAGCCCTTTGAGCCCTGCCCTTCAGCCAGTTCTTCACCCAGTGCACCATGAACCTGCTCATTGCACAGCTGGACAACTTGTCCAGAAGGATGCTGTGAGGCACAGTATGAAAAGCCTTACTAAAATCCAGCAAAACTACATCTACCACCTTCCCTTCATCCACTAGCCAGGTGACCTTATCATAGAAGGATATGAAATTAGTTAAACATGGCTTTCCCTCTGTGAACCCACGTTGACTGTGCCTGATGATTGCATTGCTCTTTCAATGTCTTTCAATCGCACCCAGTATGGTAAGTCTCCATAATTTTTCCAGGTACTGAGGTTAGACTAACAGGTCTGTAGTTTCCTGGGTCAATACAAGTGCCTGTGTTAGAGCTGCAAAAAGATCCCATAAAAGCTGCTGACAGAGGATATAACATGGCCTTTTCCTCTCCTCCCCATTTTCTATTATGAAGTGCAATCTTAAATTAATTTTCATTTTTGCAACTCCATTTAATCATTGTCTTCATATGACAGTTTTCAAGAAAAGCATATCTCAAAAGTTTAAGTATTAATTACACGGGTATGATGAACTTCAGTAAAGCTGCAAAGAAACAAAAACCTCAGCCTACACCCAATTAAAATTATACAAAATTGATTTCTACTTATAGGTTTTTGTCCAGAGTCCTAAAACGAGAAAAGATTGTATTTATGCATTTGAATATGCATCTTCACTTATTTATTCTGATTAAATAATAGTTTAGAACATAGTTTATCACTAGCAAGAGATTAATGTATGTAATTACATAGTAATTAAACATCTGAATGTATTCAACAGATACATCTCTGAAGAAAAGTGCTCTTTTTTAAAATCATTCAGTGAAGTGTATTGAATTAACCATATGAATACTCTTACTGAAGTCATACAAGATGGAGATTTAAGACCTACATATTTCACCCAACCAGCCCAATGTTTAACTATTTGTACTCTCCAAATTTGGGGTCCTCATATAAATTCTATTTCAAAGGTTCCTATTTAGAATTTACAAACAATTAAACGATGAGCCAGCATTGCCATTTTGCATGTTCCCCAAAATTTGAGGGATACAGGAGCTCACATTCATGCACTCAGCATCACTCAGTTAATTTCTAATTCAAGCACATCAGTTTCCTAATGATATCTACAAATGGGGAAAAACTGTAATTCGTAAATACAAAGTTCCAGAGTACAACTAAAGGGATCCATATAGAGTTTCACAAATTACATATACACTGATTAGGAAATAGTCCAAATGGGTATTGAAGTTACACACCTCTCCGTTTTGCTGCCTATGTTAGCCATTTATCAGTTGTGGCAGGACTGCATGTAACCTTTTTGCTATATATAACTTTTCAGTATTTGCTAGACACATACTTCAGAATACAGCTTCCAAGTTAATAAAGAGTAAAACTGCCAGATTTAGAGAATAGCGAGGATAATTTAGTTTCCTTCTTTTGGAAACACACTATATCTTTACAGAAAACTAAATATTTTGTGGAGAACAAAAAAAAAAAAAAAATCACTGTCTTACCTTGTCATCCGATTTTAACAGTGTTTCCATTCCTAGAAGCATTAGCTTGCTCTGACACTTGGTAGAAAACAAACAAAACACAGTGTTTACTTACTCTTCCCTTTTGTAAGAAAGAAACATGATGCTTAGAAATTCCAACAAAAGTGGTTTAATATAAGAAAAAAAAAAAAAAGAGTTTTGACTTGGCTCCTACCACATCCCTCAGAGCTTGACCCAGAACAGCAAATTAAGAAATATTTTTAAATCATACCACAGTAAAAAAGTAGAACTTCAATTAATTGAAAAGTAGAAAAGTACCAGCTAACGAAAGATGTATGATTTGAGGAAAAAGGCAAGTTATGAAGGTTGATATGGGGAAAGACACCGAACAGATGACGAATGTGAGAAACTGGGGAGTCATGGACAAGGCTGAATAGGAAAGCTTCTGAGAAGTTAATGCACTTGCTGCTACTATGCTGGCTCTCCAAACAAACCAATTGCATTATAATGCACATTTTTAGTTTTAACTCATTTAGGGCAGTATACTGTACACTTCAGAAATGGTCTGATTTTTAGAACTGCACTACATGAGCTCCCATGACTGCTATGGGATGGTGTATCAAGTCTGAAGTTCAGGCCACCACA